CTGATCTGAAATAAGTGGATAAATAATTACCTTGACTTTTCTTAGTATTTCTTAAATGTATGTATAGGTCTCATTTATTTCAATGTTTAATATTAGAGGCATTTGGGGTCTTAGAAGTTGCAGTTTCCGAGAACTTATGGACAACATTAAGTGAGGACTTACTTCAGTGCACAGTTTAGGAATACTGGATTTAAGAAACACTGATCTAGCCTACGGGTTTACTTTGTAAATTAAGAAATAAGACTTAAGGTTACAAAGCTAGCAGAAAAACAAACATATTTATTAGGGATTTTCCTAAATTTCAACCTTCCACCAACAAAAGTATGTTTGTCTGTCTGTTTCGAGACAGAGTCTCACTCTGTCACCTAGGCTGGAGTGCAGTGGTGTAATCTTGGCTCACTGCAACCTCTGCCTCTCAGGTTCAAGCAATTCTCCTGCCTCAGCCTCCCCAGTAGCTGGGATTACAGGCACCTGCCACCATGCCCAGCTAGTTTTTTATTTTTAGTAGAGGTGGGGTTTCCTTATGTTGGCCAAGCTGGTCTCAAACTCCTAATCTCAGGTGATCTGCCTGCCTCAGCCTCCCAAAGTGCTGGGATTATAGGCATGAGACACTGCACCCAACCAACAGAAGTTTTGTTTGTTTGTTTGTTTTGAGATGGAGTCTTGCTCTGTTGCCCAGGCTGGAGTGCAGTGGCACAGTCTTGGCTCGCTGCAACCTCCACCTCCCTGGTTCAAGCAATTCTCCTGACTTGGCCTCCCGAGTAGATGGGATTACAGGCCTACCACCATGCCTGGCTAGTTTTCGTATTTTTAGAAAGAAACGGGTTTCGCCATGTTGGCCAGACCGGTCTCAAACTCCTGACCTCAAGTGACCCACTCGCCTCAGCCTTTCTAAGAGCTGGAATTACAGGCGTGAGTCACCAAGTCCCGGCCCTTCCATCAACAAATGTTTTGACACAGGATCTAATTATGGGATACTCTGTTGATTAAATGTGTATATCTCTAAAAATCACATTCAAAATTACATTTGTAGCATTATTTAATAGAAGAAAAAATTTACTTCAATTTTTTTTAGAAAAAAGTTTCAAAAATTATGAAAATAATTCTTATAATAAAACCATACAAAAATGTCTAAAGTAAAAAAGAAAAGTCATCCACTCCCTCAGGAAAAACACATGTTTAATGGTTTAATGCCTGTCCTTATAGCCCTTTTTTCTATTCACATGCAAAATGAAAACAAAACTACATTTATTTGTCTATGTGTTTTTTAAATGAATCATATTCTATAGTATAGTGCAACTTATTTTTTCACTTAATTTTATATCATGAACATTCTTCCAAGTCAATACATAATAGTAACAGCAAACACGTGAGCTTATTAATGCTTACTTAGGGCATAAGTGTTAACTCATTTAATTCTCATGGTACCCCTGTAAGATGAGAACTATTAGTATATCCAATTTATAGCTGACTTTTAGTGATTCACCAAGAGTCACAGCTAGAAAGTGGTGCAGTTAGGTTTTGAACCCAGAAGGTCCACCGCATGGTCCCAGGAGTTGAAGGATATGCTCAGCCGCTGCTCATGAAGTAAATATAGATACCCTGAAACCTGTTAACAACTGCATAGTAATTCACAGCATAAATATACTAGACTTTTAACTATTAGCCTACCAACAGACATTTAGGACATTTTAAAATTATTTATAAAAGTTATTGACATCCTGGAATAATGCTAATATAAATATTCTTCAAGAATTCCTGTGCTGTGTTAAAATTTATGTAAGATAAACTCCTAAGCAGGAAATGATTCTATCAAAGAATATATATACTTTTAATTTTGATAGGAAATGCCAAATTTCCTTCCAGAAGTTTGCTTCAATGGTATCAATTTATAGTCCCAATTACAAAGGAGAGGGTTCAGATTCATTAATTAACATTTTTGATTCATAAAAAAAAGGCCCATTTTGAGTTTTTAATTAATACTAAATAGACTGCCAGGTTGATCACAATTATGTTCTGATTTTATAATTATCTGACATATTAAACAAATGTAGACTTAGCAGCTGTGCAGTGGATTCTTCTCCCAGTTATGAAATCAACTATGCGTGAGATGTCACCCCTATACAACCCTCTGTTTTCTTATGTATAAAATATGGGAACTGGACTAGCTGGCCTTGAAGAATTTAAACTCCCAATGCTGAGATTAAGAAGTGACTTAAAAGCTATTACAAGCCCATAATTATAGTACTAGTATAACAGGTTAGGGTCTTAAAGTTTCTATTTCCTTTAAATTACCATAACTATTGCCAGAGCGCCTAGGCAAATCACTAAAATAGTAAATAAAGTTTCCACTTGCGGCATACTCCCAGTGGCTTTTTAATCCCAGGCTGTCATTCCCTTGCTACCTAGCAAATTTGAGCATATCTCTGGAATATATTCCCAAGAGTTGAGGTGTGCCTAGGAACTAAGAACTAGTCTTTTGTTTTGCATTTAAAATATTATCCTGGGACCATTCTTTAGTCAATTTCTTCAACTAGTATTTGTTGACTGTATTACCATATGCTAGGCACTGAGTGCATAGTAGTGATTAAAGGATCTCTGCCATCATGGAACTTACAGACTAGATGAGAAAGGCAAAGAATAACTCAAAATAACCACAAATGATAACAATGAACAACAACAACAACAACAACACAGAAAAAAATACTATGCAATCTGTTGTGTTTTTTTAAACTATAACACTAAAATTTTTTGACATGGGAAAAGTCAATAAGGAAAATTATTTCAGTTTGCCTCACATTGCAAAAATAACAATCACAATTATACACAGAGAATTAACTTTTTAAATCATCAGTTGTCTCAACAATAAAATCATCAAGATATTACTACTTTTCAGTTATGTTACTGATCATGTGGCTTGAACGTTTGTTTTACACAACTAAGAGTATAAATGACTGGAAGAATAAAGAGGACAGAACTGAGTATCCAAACAAAGTGAAAGACAAGAAATGAACTACACTTTAAGAATCTTGTTCATACAAAAAGTATATACGTAAAGAAGTAAAGTGATCCATTATAATTCATGACTTGTCAATAATTAACAAAATGTTATAAAAATACTAATGTTTTTTAAAAACTGGCGATTATCAGCATAAGGGGCAAGTGGCATGTAAAAAGGAATAAAAATAGAATAATTTTTTTATATTTTAAAATCATGCCAAATGCCAGAGTACCTATATTAATATTTACTTTAAAATAAAACTAATCCCAGATTATCTGCAGAAATGACAGGCATTCACATAAATGATCTTCCGTATGTGTCAGTTTCCACGACTGCAAAATAAGGATATCTGCCACACATACTTCACAAGATCACTGTGAAAACTAAACAAAATAATGTATATAGAAGCACACCAAAAAATGATGTCAGTTATTTTGGACAACTTCTTTTTTGCTCCCACTATAAATTATAGCAATTCAACAAATAAAATTGATTACAGCAGGACTTCATCTCCTTTCTTCTGCTCATGATATGGTAGAAGTGTTATAAAATGGGCAAAAGACTGACAATCAGAAGCAGAAGGAAAAAACCCAAAAACTTTATAACTCATAAATTGATTGCCCCACAGAAGGTTGGTTGTTTAAGTATTAACGCTCTTACATGACACACACACAAATTAATCTCAGAAAATCAAAGAAATTCGTTCACATATGTATGGAATTTTTTACAAATAGAACTTGCCATCTCTTCATACACCAAGTTCTGCTACTGAGGATGAACAGAAGAGATACAGAGATGCGCATGTATTTATCCACACATATAAGGTATTCTAGCTTGAAGTTTCAGATTACAGTATCTTAAATTTAATGCAATGACAGTTCAAATGATTCAGATTTATTTTATTACATTAAATGAAATTTGTCAATTTAGCACATCGAAACTAATTATTATATGCCCATGGCTTTGAAGCAACTTCCAGCATGGGTCTAACAACTAATCCCTCAAAGTCATAATTCCATGTCATTAGCAGTGCATTTCCTTGTTTAAAAACAATATTTTAAACTAACAAATTTTTAGAATGGAGGGCAACTTTTTGTATTTTATCATTGTTTCTACAGAACTTTTCAGTTTGTTACTAGCTCTACCAAAGAGAGTCTTTCTTTTAAAACTCTTCAAATACAGGGCAGGAGGTATCGTTAACATGGTAACAATAACGACTTCCCCAAATTCAAAACAAGGATCACCATCAAAACAAAACAATCAGGTGGAGTACATGGATACTGATCACTATTTCTGACAACCTGTTTTTTCCCATATGAAGGATCTGCTACTGCATTAAAACATTAAAATCTATGCCTATGTGCAATTTTCTATCTCAAAATTTAAAGTCCAGGCAAATTCCAATTCATATATTGTGACATTGGATGTTGAGCGGCATTTAAAAGGCGGCGGAGGAAAACACTGCTAACTTCCAAAACATAAAGCTTTTTAAATCTCTCCCCAAATTATCTGTGAATAAACCGGTAGACTACCTTCAGTAGCCGCTAGACTAGAGTAGATCAAAGTTTTCCCTATACTTGAGAATGTGATCCCCACCGAAAAGGAACAGAAACTGATCATCCTTGCCACTGGAGTCAGTCCCCGGAATCTCCCCAAATACGCCTGATCGCCAAATGAAGAAGGGACACTTCTCCGGGGAGCAAAGGCTAGAGGTATCTTACCTCTCTGCAGGCTAGAGGAGGGGCAGAGGAGGCGGGAGGACACTGGCAGGTAAGGAAGGAAATTCCGTCTTCAGCAGGCACTGGTGGGACCCGAAACCTAGGTCCCCCAAAAGCTTCAGAACCCAGGGAGGTTCCCCGAGGGGGACGCCAAGCAGGGCCAAAACTCTCCGCGCCCGGCCCCGCCTCTCTCGCCGCCACCGGGGACCCGGGACCGCGGACAGAGACAGTTGAGGGTGAGCGAGAGTCCGCGGTCCAAGCCAGGTCCTACTGGAGCTCACCTGAGAGTGTCGCCTCCGCCCTCGGCTCCCACGGTGCATCCCGCGGGACCTGGCGGAGGGTGCAGTGACGCCGCCCCGACCGGCCCCAGGGCTGCCCGGCCTGGCCTCCCCGCTCTGGGGACGCACCGGGTGCCCGCCTCGCACCGGCTCCGGGGATCCGCCGGTCCGCTGGGAAGGAAGACGAGGCGAAAAGGCTGCCTCCCCTCCCCTAGGGCAAGCCACCCCCCGAGCTGCGGCTCTCTGCAGTTCCCTCTGGCGCAGGTCTGGCCCCGCTCCCCCGCCCGGGAGTCACTTCGGCAGGGGCGGCCCAGTCGCCATTACAGCCCAACAACTGACACGGAGGAGGAGCGGCGCCAGCGGTAGTGGCTGTGGCGGCGGCGCGAGGCAGGGCGGGAACAGTCGGGCCCAGGCAAACCTCGCGAGAACCGTCCTGAGACAGTGCCACAGGAATGCCAACCTTCGGTTAGGGCCATGTTGAGTGTGGCCGAAAGGTGGGAGCGAGATAAAACAAGGAGCGGAACCGCAAGGAAGCCATGTTTGGCGTGGCGAAGTTTAAACTCGTATGACTCGGGAGGAGCCAAGGTATATCCGCAGAAGAGACCACCCCTGCCCTTTGCCTTTGACGCTCATTGGGCGTTTTGGCTGCGCATTTCACCCCGGTCTGAGAAAACAAGCTGGGGATTTGACAAGAATGAACTCAAAAGTCTGGAAACGGCAGCTTCTGAGAGTTTACAATGTTTCACCAATTGTCGTCCAAATAAATCATCACCCCTGTCAGAGTAGTTACAGCTCTGCAGTTACCCACTACTGTCACTGTGGCCGTTTTATTCGCGAGGGTTACAGTTCTGTTTAACATGCACTCTAATGACTTAAGACTCCACGCCAAGTAAAACGGACTTTCCTGCCATTAAGTATTGGCTTTGCTGTAACAGTGCTTTGAGAGGCCCTCTGTGGCCAACATATCTTCTCATATCTTTGTCCTTATTTCCCAGTCTCCGCGTGGTGAAATCATCTGTCAAGACTTGGCTGAAAGGACCTCTCTTCTGCAAATAATGCCACCTTCCTCTAGGTGCTCACTGCACACAGACTCGCCCATCACTTCTGTCCACCCTCTGAACTCCGATAGTTATTTACCCAGAGATTGTTTCTCATCAAGTGTCTTGAAGACGTTAAGGTCTCTTTTATCTCTTTATGCCCCAAAAAGGCCTAGCACAGTAACTAGGACATTGTAGGTGCTCAATAAATGTTTGTCGAATATCAATGACAGCAGGAGGCAGTAATGATCCCTCTTTGTAGGGCCTACAGCTATACCTGAATGGGATGTACAGAAGTCCTGTATACGTGTAAAATGTCTCCAGGAAGCTGCACTGGAGGGGACAGGAAATGTGGGTAATCGTATGGTGCAAGTGGTAGCACAAAAGACAACATAAGGAAAATGTTATTTAGATTTTGCCCAGTCTTGCTGTTTAAAGCCCTGTGTTAGATGCTTTTCATGCGTTATTTTACTGAATGTAAACAACCACCTTATTAAATATATTCACTTTTTTAAAACGAAGAAACACGTACTGGCCGGTCACGGTGGCTCACGCCTATAATCTGAGCACTTCGGGGGGCCGAGGCGGGTGGATCACGAGGTCAGGAGTACAAGACCAGCCTGGCCAAGATGGTGACACCCCGTCTTTACTAAAAATACAAAAATTAGCCGGGAGTGGTAGCGAGTGCCTGTAATCCCAGCTACTCGGGAGGCTGAGGCAGGAGAATCGCTTGAACCTGGGGTGCTGAGGTTGCAGTGAGCCGAGATCGCACCACTGCACTCCAGCCTGGGCTGTTGACAGAGTGAGACTCCCTCTAAAAAAAAAAAGGAAGAAAGAAAGATAAAAAGAAAAGGAAAGAGAAACAAGTACTGAAAAAGCTAAGTAATTTGCCCAATTTTATACCATCAATCAAAGGGAGATACAAGATTTGGGATCTCCTTTACCCCAAAAGCCCATTTATACTTTTTCAGCCCCATGCTATCCCCTTGGCAACAGAGAAAACACTAAAGTTCTGTCACTGTGCTTTGAGCAGGGTTACCCTAGTATCAGCCTATGCACAATTTCTACTTCTTATACCTTGTGTTGGTCCGTCTTCTCCTTGCCTCCTAAATTCCCCAAGCACATCAATGTCTTTCTTTTCTAATATCCCGTTACTCTTGTGTTTACCCTACAGATTGGCCCTGAGTCTGTCAAGTTTTGTACTAGTTGCGTATAGTTTCATGAGAGTAATTAATCTCTGGAACAAGATTGGAAGCGTAATGCGAAAAGGTTTTTTGCCTTTCCCAGACGTCTCCGCAGTGTTAGGCCAGTAATAGGTGTTCAATATGGCTCCCTATTTCTCCTACTTTTTAGTAGACATTAAGATTGGATTTTTCTTTATATTCTTTGTTGATTACTATGGCCTTGACTCTCACCACTTTTTGGATAACTAGATCTTGGCCCTAGACTCAGATCCAGTGTGGTTTGAATGTAACATTCTCAATCAGTGTATCACTTCCCATTTCGTGACATTAGCTACTGTTTATTTCTGTCTTTTAATGTCAAGCTCTTGACAGATATTATTTCTAATCTTTAAGACAATCCTACAGGGTAAATATCATTGACCTTTATATAGACGAGAAGATTACAATTACCTGTTACCTATCTTCACATAGATACAGAAGCCACCAGCACTTTCAGCTCCCAAATTAAGCTTATCATTTTTCCTCTCCTGAGTCTTACACGACCAGCTCCTCCTCTTTTCCCCTGTATTTCTGTTCATGGCTGTCACAGAACACTCTTCTGAGAACTAAGAGGACCAAAGTTTCAGAAATATTATATACTCCTCTGTATGCCTTGCTCCCACCCAGCCAGTTATTAAGTCTCTAAATACCATTGATGCATATTTCTTATATGTACTTCCCTTTTGTCCAGTTGCACCACTGCCCTCCTAATTTAGACTCTCATTTCTGCTGCCCAAATGATTATAGTAGTATTTCCACAGTTCAGCTTGACTTTTATCTCTACCATGTCTCTACCTGCCAAGGTAAGTAAAAACTTTTCGCCTCAGCCATCAAGGCTTTTCTCAGCATAGCACCAACCTAACTTTCCATCTCCCTGAAGTAAAACAGCACAATAAAATAGAAAGGGCAGGAATGTAACATCAGAAAGACTCTTATGCAAATCTTGGCTCTATCACTTACTTGCCCTGTGACCCTCAAGAACCTCAATCTTATCTTCTATATCAAGGTCAATGATATTTACCCTCTAGGATTGTCTTAAAGATTAGAAATAATATCTGTCAAGAGCTTGACATTAAAAGACAGAAATAAACAGTAGCTAATGTCACGAAATGGGAAGTGATACACTGATTGAGAATGTTACATTCAAACCACACTGGATCTGAGAAACAACCTGTTCATTCCTACCTCTAGGCCTTTGTTCCCTAACCTGGAACACATCTCACCCCAGCTCTCAATTTCTGCTACATTCTCTAAGTGCCAACTGAGAAGTTAACTACTACAGAAAAAAATCCTTGATTGCTCATACTTTCCAGATGCTCTTCCACCCCTGAACTGTGTGATGCTGTGTCTCCTGCTTAGAGCAGTATCTACTATCAATAGTTCTCCTTGTGTCTTATACCTCATGGTCATGTTAGATTCTAAGGACCTTCGTCTCCTACACAGTGGATTAAAAGCATGAATTCTACAAATAGCGAATGACATCATTATATCGCCAAAGCTGTATCTCTCTATTAATTCGTTGTCTAGAGATCAATATCAAATTTTGCATTCCCAGGAAAGAAAACATAACTATTCATCTAGAATTTAAATTCTGGGTTTAAACCTTGGCTGAGGCCAGGTGCGGTGCTCAACCCCCATAATCCCAGCACTTTGGGAGGCCAGGGTGGGTGGATCACTTGAAGGCAGGAGTTTGAGACCAGACTGGCCAACATAATGAAACCCCATCTCTACCAAAAATACAAAAAATTAGCCAGGCATGGTGGTGAACGCCTGTAGTCTCAGCTGCTTGGCAGGCTGAGGCACGAGAATTGCTCGAACCCAGGAGGCACAGGATGCAGCAAGCCAAGATTGCGCCACTGCATTCCAGCCTAGCTGACGGAGTGAGACTCTGTCTCAAATAAATAAATAAATAAATAAATAAATAAAGCCTGGCTGAACCACTTACTAGCCATATAACTTTGGTCAGGGTACTTAACCTCTTCGTGACTCAGTTTCCACTTGTGTATAGTGGAGATTGCAGTGGTACCTACCTCACTGGGTTGTGTAAGTATTAAAAAAAATAACACATGTAGAATATAAAATGTGTTCAGAATATACAAATATATAGACAGAAGGTAGGTAAGTGATTGCCTGGGACTGGGAAGTAGAATAGACATAGGGGAGGGGAGGAGAAATGGGAAATGACTACTAGTGGTTATGGAGTTTCCTTTTATTTTGAGAGGGAGTCTCGCTCTGTCGCCCGGGCTGGAGTGCAATGGTACGATCTCAGCTCACTGCAACCTCCGTCTCCCGGGTTCAAGCAATTCTTCCACTTCAGCTTCCTGAGTAGCTGGGATTACAGGCACCCACCATCATGCCATATGAATTTTTGCATTTTTGTAGAGACAAGGTTTCACCATGTTGGACAGGCTGGTCTTGAACTCCTGACCTCAGGTGATCCGCCTGCCTCAGCCTTCCAAAGTGCTGGGATTACAGGCATGAGCAGGCATGAGCCACCGTACCTTGTCTTTCTTTTTCTTTTCTTTTTTTTTTTTTTTTTTAAAGAGGTTTGCTTTTTTTGTTCCGGGTGGGGGGGGATGGGAGGGAGTTGGCTCACTGCAACCTCTGCCTCCTGGACTCAAGTGATTCTCCTGCCTCAGCCTCCCCAAGTAGCTGGGATTACAGGCATGCATCACTATGCCCAGCTAATTTTGTATTTTTAGTAGAGATGAAGTTTCTCCATGTTGGTCAGGCTGGTCTCAAATTCCCAACCTCAGGTGATCCGCCCGCCTCAGCCTCCCGAAGTGTTGGGATTACAGGCGTGAGCCACTGCACCTGGCCCCGGAGTTTCTTTTTTACGTGATGAAAATGTTCTAAAATTGATAGTGGCAACGGTCGCACAACTCTGTGAACATACTAAGACCCATTGAATTGTATGCTTTAAGTGGGTGAATTGTATGATATGTGAAGTATGTATCAATAAACCTGTGTTGAAAAAGAAATAACACATGTGAAGGACATATAGTTGGCACATAATAGGTGCTGAAAAATGTTGCTTCTTTTTACTGTTTTTAATACACTGAATTAGTGCCTTGCATATAGTTAGGTATTCAATATTTGTTGAATTAAATTTATTTGTTGAATTTAAATTCTAGGTGAATAGTGA